ACTGGGAATTTTGCCTATACCAAAATTATATAGCCGTTTCCAATTCACTTCAAAGGGAGAAAAATTATGTAAAACTGCCTGCTATTTGCTGAAAACTGCCAAAGATTAAATTATAACTGTAACAACTTAATATATACTATTTCTAGTCTTTTTAATATTTTTTTTAATTAATATCCGACATATAAGAACACTTTGTATGCTTTTAATTAAGTTGATTTATCGTTTATAATATGTTCTACCTAATTAAAAGCACACAAAGTGTTCTTACATGTATGTCTAAATTTATTTTAAATTAACTAAAACAACCCCCTTCCCCGCACCCCTCTCCTCCATTAGTATTTCTTCCTCCGACTACCAGAGGCGCCCTTGTATAATAAAATTGAAATGTATTATAAGTTGCCTATCTATTTAATAGTATAAGTCTTTTATCTATGGACAGACTAAAGTATGGTATTTTTTGAGGCTCTAGAGCTATCCTGCAAGAAACTTTAAAGGCTGATTCATGGTACACCGTGACGGGCCGGGGCCGTGCGACGGTGAAGGCACGGCCAAACATTGTCAAATGTTATTTATACTTATGCATTCATGCTAAGCCGAGCACGGCCGAGCTTCGCCGGAACGCGTCCGTGCCCCGTCCGAGAAATGTCGGTGTACATTTTTCCTCGGATCCGCTACGGTCCGGCCCCGTTGCGGCAAACATAAATGAGTCGCTCGGGCTAAATACTTCGTTCGTCTACGGGCCTATAGCGACTGTTTTCTAGCAGTGTTGCCGCACCCAAGTTTTAGCGCGTACCACATTATAAACTAAAAATGTACCACTTTGGTACAATTTTTTAAAGCACAACAAAATACATCTGCAAATGACTTTAACCGGTTTGGTCGCTGTGAATTTCTTCATAAATTTCTACATAAAAAAACTTCCTGGAGAAAGACACAAATCGAGACGAAAAACATGAAATAGAAATTCAGAAAACCCAATTATAAGTATGTATAGGTTGAAGAATTCTAAGTAATTCTAATACTACACACAATACTTGGAAAACTTAAATTTTATTTAAAAAAAACGCAAATATAGAAGCATGTTAGAAACAGTAAATTTTCAAGTTTTTTCTTCGGGTTATTTAATATAGGCAACGCTATAGACATTACAACGTTTATAATACGTCGTTAATTAATGCGGATTTTTCTCCGAATGGTATCGGTAAGCGCGTTTAATGCAATATCAACGACAATAATTATTAAATATCTATTCATTTTCGGTGCGCGTGGAAAATAATTATTGTACCAAATCATCCTGGATTTGAAAATGTAGTACCACTGTACCAAATAGAATTAAAAGTATCAAATTTGGTACAAATGTACCACTGCGGCAACACTGTTTTCTAGATTATAATCGGCACGGACATGATCCCCGTTGTCCACTCGGTGTAGCATATTATTGAAGGCCCGGACGTGGCTCGGTGTCTACTTTACGGAACGTGCCCGGCTCGGGTACGGCCCGGTGTACCATGAATCAGCCTTAAAATGGTATATTATAATTTGATAGACAATTAAATTGTGCATCTAATTCTCGTAAAATTTACAATGTGTTCCATTTAAATTAAACAAGTTATTGCCGTTTAAAACTAGTAATTATTTAAAACAAATTTTTAGACACTCTGTATAAGGTAGTATTATATTTATTCTTGCAACACAAAATTTAGTAAACAGAATAACTTCAGTACAATATTTGGTTTTAAAAACTTAAATACGTCTAGAGAAATGAAGCATTATAATAATAGTTACTGCATTTTCACAAAAACGTAAATATTTCAAAAACGGTAAGATTAAAGTACAGCAAACCTTAATTAAATTTACCTTTATTTTAATCGTAGAAACTAAAAACATAATAATATACAGGGTGTTTCATTTAAAATGATATTTTTTTTATCTATTTGGGACACTGTACTTTTTGAAAATAATTTTAAATTATAGTTTTAGTAGTTCCCCGATCCCATCATTCACAATTTCTAAAAACCTCATCGTGTGGCTACAATACTCCTTGTCGAATGAGGTGAATAACCCTATATACCGGGTGGCCAAGTAAGAATGGTCGCCGGCTGTATCTCAGAAACTACTTACCTATCGTATAACTTTGGGAAAAAAATTCTAATAGGTAAATCGACCAAGAGAAATCATTGAAAATTATTCCCTACGTATAATTAACCAAGCAATTCGGAAAAATTATATGGATGGACGATAATGTTACATAAATACGTTTAAATATTTATGACGTAATTTTTTTAAGAAAACGCCCGAAATTCGGATGCATGAAAACTGAACTTAAACGTTTTGATATTTTGACGTAACCCATTTACCTCTTTTTGTTTCCTAGCCTACTACTATAATTTTTAGACCATAATATAATCCTAAGCAGCAGTCTAACATGATTTGCTGTCTTAATATCTCCGGTTAGAGAGAAGATAGAAAGTTGCGCGGTTTGCCCTGATATTTTGGAAATATTGTGCTCTATTTAACTGTGCAAAGAGAAATATAGCCTCCTATTTAATTTTTTTATGCAAAAGCGCAATATCTGTTATGATGCCAAACAACGCCCTCTAGCTACCACGAAAAAAATTATGGAAACAAAATTTATATTGGAGATCATTAAAAATGAAAAGCTCTTTTAAACGAGACCTAGTTTGTTTAAATCGGTTAACCTTAAATTATCCTTATTTTAATCAAGTTTAACCTTCCCCCACGACTTTATTTTATGAGATAGAGCAAAATACTCTATATCAAAAAAATTACAAATTTCTCGATGATTACAATAGTAATATTTAAAATACCTGTTCACCTGCATATTTTTGAGAAATACCCTGTTTTCTGATTTGCTATCAGAAAAACGCCCCCTACCGGACATTTTTCGAACTTGAAAATAATATCCAACTATTTCTCTTGGTCGATTTACTTATTAGAATTTTTTTCCCAAATAAGTAGTTTCTGAGATACAGCCGGCGGCGTCCATTCTAAGATGGCCACCCGGTACAGGGTGGTCCGAATTGTATTCTAGAAACTTTGGCAGCATATTTTGCAGATAAAAATAAATCAAAAAAGTTCGTATAAATGTATGTCCTAAAATATTTAGTTTCGGAGATACAGGGTGTAAAAGTTTCATCTTTATTTCGATTTTTTTCCAAGTAATTTCTGAAGTAACTTACTAACGTCAAAATTTAGATGAAAATTGGTGCCTGGGAGAGTTTTTTAACATGAACAATTTGATTTTGATGTCAATATGACTCATATTTGTAGCAGGCGCCACCTACATGTGTTTTAACTGTTTTGAAGAATAATAATTTTTCGTCCGTACCTGTATAAAACTTTGAATAAAAAGACTAAGGAAAGAGCATATCAAAAATCTTAGGTACACCGCGATGGGCCTCAAATATGGCCGACTTAAATTCCGGTTTATCAGTGTCGTTCTAATTTTATTTAAAAAATGTAAAACTATGATGTAGGGTAGACGTGGGGTAGACTCAATAATTTGTTGTTTTATTTTACGTTGTGAATAAATGTTGGTAGTTATTAAAATTGTTATAAAAATATATAATTCTAATAAAAATAGATAAGTTATAATAAGTATTTATTAACACAAACATCCGATACGCTACTGAAGCAGGTAAGTCAAATTAACGTATCTAAATTCTTTGACAAGTAATAAATAAAAGCTAAAATGCAAGAAAAATATATAATTTAGTTAATTTAAGTGAATTTCATAAATGATCGGCTTACTACACGTATGTATATTATATAGTCACTTACTAGCGAAAAGTTGTTCCATTATTTCACTCAATTTTTGCCGAGATCTACCGCACGCTACACAACCAACTATTTTAGAGTCTTTTTCCATAAATCGCGATAGTGTCACTGTTAATTTAAGTTCTGCCACAATTTCCATCTCGATTTACTACCTTTATACAACTATCAGTAGTAGAATAAATAATAAATAACATAAAATAAGCTCCATAAAGACTGACAAATCCACAAAATTTCAAATCAAATGCAAATGTGTCAAATGAATCGTCAAACAGAACTGTCAAGGATCCCCACCCTAGAGAGCTTTTATGGTGCCTTTTCCGCCCACCATGCATGAATACATGGATAGCATTATGCTCCTTCCTTAGTCTTCTTATTCAAAGGTATAAAACTACTGGGTAAAAAAATTACAGTTCCGTTTACGTAACAACGTAACAACATTTTTTATATAAAAATGTTTCTTGGTAAAAATCGGCTATGAGCAACCGTTCTCAAGATATTTAAAATGAAAATAACCACTACATTTTGGCGATGACGACAGGTATTGATAGCGTCGATTCCAAATATCTCGAGAACCATTACTCGTAGCGATTTTTATCAAGAGACCTTTTTGACGTAAAAAACGTCGTAGATGTATATGTTTTTACTGAGTAGTTATATACAGGTACGAGCGAAAAGTTATTACTCTTCATACCAGTTAAGAAATATGCAGGTGGCGCCCTGTACAAGTAGGAGTCATATTGACATCAAAATAAAATATCGAAAAACTTCCAGACACCAATTTTCAAACAAATATTGACGTTACTTGATTGACTAGAATTGACTTGATTAATGAAATTATTTGGAAAAATATAAATGATAGTTCTACACCCTGTATCTACGAAACTAAGCATTTTGGACATACATTTATACAAACTTTTTTACTTATTTTTATCTGCAAAATATGCTGCCGAAGTTTCCGGAATACAGTTCGGACCACCCTGTATAATAAAATTATTCTCTACAAGTAGTTGGTACTCTAAAATAAAATTCCGTAAAAACCACAATGGATGCATTACGCGTGGTCCATTGTGGTTTTTATGAAATTTTAGAGTATTTTTTGTGATATAAGTGTGACCTAGGATAAACCCACACTAAAACGTTCAATGACTATTTTATTGAGGAAAGATCTAGTAAAAATCAAAAAATAAAAAAGAAAATCAAACCTAATCACTCGACTCGGCAGCGGAACTGCATAGCTCGGGATAAACTTCCGCAGCAAATCGGTGCATTGTTTCCCAATTTTATCGCTGGCCAAGCTCTCTACTTCCTCGACCGCAACACCCCCGACCCAGGTCATTAGGGCATTCGGGTGATTAAATACTTCGTCAAAGCCGGTCACGTGACGAAGCCACGAGTATTTTTCGGAAAAGTTGCACTCTTTGTTCCACAATAATTGAAAACCTAAAAGAGAAAAGACGATTTAATAACATTTTACAAAAAATTACCGGATGGCGCACCTCATTCGTCTCGGTTACTAATACAAAAACGGAAAGATGTAGAAACAAAAAAAATTATGGGATTAGGTGGGGAAGCAATGTGCATAATTTAAAATTATTAATATTAATATAATTATTATTTGAAATGTACAGAGTGTTGTAGAATTAAGATCCATACCAAAGTTATATTTTTTCTTATGGAACACACACACACACACATCCTGTATTTTATTTCATTTCTGGATTCTTGGGCATGAAATAAGGCATTTATTATAAGGGTTTAATATGTTTAAATGCTTTGGTTTTTGGGATATTTAAAGATATTTAAATATGCATGCTATAATAAAAAAGTTTGTCAACACCATAGACTTAAAATGTTAAGTCTATAGTCAACACCCTGTACTGAGAAATAACCAAACCTAACCAAACCAAACACCTTACCAAACCAAACAACGGGTATTTTATTTCATTTTTGGATTCTTGGACCTAAAAAAATTGTAAGGGTTAAATATGCTTAAAAACTTTGATTTTTGAGATATTTAAGGATAATTAAATACGCCAGGCTATAGTAGAAAATATTATAAACTTATAATTAATTCTTGTGCTGAGTTTAAAGATAGAGAAATAAACTTTACTGAAAATTTTGATTGCTTCTTGAAATGTATACAGCGGTACCAAAAATTGCTGATCTATTTTAAATATTTATTTTACATAAAAACTTTGTACACCCCATAAAAACTTCGTAAACACCCCCTATTTTTTAAAACAAATAGAAGTAGATTTAAATGCTCTTTCAAACTATATTAGGGTTATTAAGATGGCTGGTGTCGCCATCTATTTTCTAGTGACAGTAGCTATTTTCAAAATCGACATTAGTTTATGAACTTTATTTAAATTTATAACAGTTTACTTTTATTTAGTTTATCTACAATAGTTTAATAAGTAAAGTATATATAATTTATCAAGAAAACTGAAGCAGTATCTGCTGGTAGAAGGAATGGATATGTTACTAGAGATCTTATTTTGTGAAAAATTGCTTGTTCAGTGGCGTAGCAAGGCGGGGGCGGACCGCCCCGGGCCGCGATATTCCAAGTACCTGTAGGGCGACAAAAAATTGTCATAAAGGCGGCGGACGGATTCTGTTGGGGCATCAAACCTCTCTTCTAGAGGCTCTCCGCGCCGGGCGCCTCTAACCCACGCTCCGCGACTGTGCTTGTTGGTCTGAAGAGTTTGTGCTCAAAGCGTGGCTAACGTCATATTCAAGGTTTGACTGTTTTGACAGTTGTACCGAAGTGGTCGAGAATTAGTAGTCGTAAACAAATCAATTGTTTTCATTAGTTTCGCAACAAATCTGTGTTTTTTTACGCGTTTCTATACTAATAAAATTATATTAAATAATTTTGAGTGAATAGTGAACTATCTAGATCCGATTCATAACATCGTACCCGCGAAAAAAAACATACTTTCGGTAAAAATTATAGTAACACCGGCGATGCCGGCTGTGTGTCCGGGCTAAGAAAAAGTTGGGGAATATATATAAAAACATAATTAATAGCGTTAGTGTTAGTATATAGTGTTAAACCAACGTAAGTGACGTGTAATTTTAGGTAAAAGAGTCTTCTTTATTTTTACTTTGTGAAATAAAAAATGCCGCGACATTGTTCTGTGCCTGTGCCTTGTAGCAGCAATTATAATCAGTACTCAGGATCTGTCTACATTCTCTTTCCCAACAATATTAAATGTAACTAAGTCACGTCCAAAACCTACAGAAGATGCTGTGCCTACAATTTTTCCAAATCAACCCTCTTATGAGTGTGCATGTTCCCATAAAGAGAAAACATCCCGATGAAAGAAAACAAGATTTGGAAATTCAGGATGAAATAAATATTGAAAATTATTCTTATTATTATGAAATGGCAATATATTTTAAAGAAATTAAATGAATTGTACTCTATTTCAGTATTTTATATAAAAAAATATCTTTAACTTTTTATTTACGATTTATGGAAAAAGTTAATTCTACCTGATATCCACATTCTTTAAATATGTTAGGCAAATTTTTACAATTACTTTTAATTAAACTTTAAAATGTATTCTGCCCTTATCATATACAATACATTTTCTTAACTTGTCCATAAAGTATAGTTTTCATATTTTTTAATATTTCGAAACTTTATCACAAGGTATATTATTACTAGCTGCTAAATACTCGCTAACGCAATTTTAGGACATGCTTTTTATTATCTGGATTTTATTCTGTTCATCTTATGCTGTTGTTTATTTCATATTAATATTCGCGTTTTAGATCTAAATTTTAATGCTATTCAATTACTTTAACGCGATAAAAAGTTAATGTTATTTTTTAATACCTTTGTGTATAATATTTTTCATATTTATATCTGGCAAAACTATCAATAAATACTATTATTTATGCAAAAACTATATGCAGTACCATATGGCACAATTCAAAAGCCCGACTATTGCGGTGACGTCAGAAATCGATGTCTCTAGCCTGTATCTCATGTTGGTTATGCTCAAAGATATCTAAATAGAAATTTTCTTGATAATTGTTGCTATGAAAAATTACTATTCCTATTTCGCAGAGCTGATAGTGTGGTATATGAAAGAACTATTAAGCATAAACCTCTCGCTGGAAGTGAAGAAAATGAATTTGCCCTTAATTGGCTCTTTTATAGAAAATCCAATATATCTACAAGTCTACAAGTCATCCTAATATAAATCAAAGAACTAATTCGTTTTGCTTGATAAAATAATAAATACTTATTTATTAAACAATTGTAGGTATTTTAAATAAAAGTAAACTGCTATAAATTTAAATAATGTCCATAAACTAATTTCGATTTTGAAACAGCCAAACCGTCACTAGAAAATTACCATGACGACACCAGCCCTCTTGGTTGGCATTTTATTGAAAAATTGCTCTTTATTCAAAATCTGATAGGAATAGGAAACCGTAATATAGTTTGAAAGAGTATTTAAATCTGTTTCGACTTATTTTAAAAAATACAGAGTGTTGCATTTGAAATAACTAAGTTTTTATGTAAAATAAATATTTAAAGTAGACCAGCAATTTGTGATATCCTTGTATATATTTAAGAAAGCAATCAAATTTTTTAGTAAAGTTTAATTCTCAGGCTTAAAAGTAAGCACAAGAATTAATTCTGAAAAATCATGTACAGGGTCTTGAGAATCCTTTTTATTATAGCATGCATATTTAAATATTTTTAAATATCTCATAAACCAAAGCTTGTAAACATATTTAACCCTTATAATAAATGCCTTATTTTGTGTCCAAGGATCCAAAAATAAAATACCGGGTGTTCCATAAGAAAAAAAATATAACTTTGATGTGGATCTTATTTCTGACATACCCTGTACATTTCAAAATAATTTTAAATTATGCACATTGCCTTCCCACATATACCTATAAAATATTTTGTTTCTACGTCTTTCCGTTTTCGTATAATCAACCGAGGCGAATGACGTGCACCACCCTGTATATTTAATAAACTTATGTCCTAATTTTTTTAATAAAAAAAAGTGTTATAAAAATTATTGAAACACCCAGACTTGTATAAATTAGAACCCAAAATATTTTTTGATAAACGTACTGGGATAAATACACTGCAATTATTTTATGTAAGAACTTTCCTTTCAAAATTTTCTCCACTGAAATTTTTAGTTATGTGTGTGTGTGAACCCCAGTTTAAAAATATTCTAACCTATGATATTTACGTAGTAATACGTATCAGTGAGTAAAATACATATCGAAAAAGTGTCGAATAAGCATTAAACATTTTGTTAAATGCCGATAAAAATGTTTGGAACGGTGTATGCAAATACCTGCTATCGACTCTCTACCGTTTATGAGGTTTGAATATTTGTAGTGACCTCGCTATGTCCGGCAAAGCTGTGCACCGAAAGCAAATATTTGCTAGGAATCGACGTGGAAAAGATATTATTTTCCAACAATTTATTCTTGTTATAACTCCTCTCGTGTTAGTTCCTACTATGGTCTTTAAGTTTTAAAAGTTTTCATTTTGATTTGATAAAAAAAGGAAATTCTATGGAGGGTAGAGAGTATTTGTTTGCATATGGGTCACAATAAAACTCAAGTTTTCTATTTAGTGACTTGTCGACGTTTCCACAAATACATTGTCTTACTCAGGGCTCCAGACGTCAACTAACCACACTAAATAAAAAACCTGAAATTTATTGGGACGCACCTCCAAACAAACAAAAACAACTTTAACTACACTCAGACGCAAAAAAATGCAACAGAATTTTTTCGTGCAACAGAGAAGTTTTTAAAGTGTTTTATTTTTTTTTTTTACTTTAGCCCTATTTTCAAGAATTTTTTAGCAAACTGTGTAATAAATCTACCAACTTTAATTCATAAACTCAGTTTTTTATCAACTTTAGTATTTGGCTTATTATACAGAGTTAATTGAAGTTTTTTTTACCTTAACTTTAAAACACACTGTACAATAACTTCGTGCGTTACTTTTCCTAAAAATCATTTTTCGATCACAACCAGAGCGATCAAAACAAATCGATTACAACCTCCTGAGCATTTTCTTTATGAAAACACATATCTTGGTAAATTTTTTAGAGCGTAATGAACTTGCCACCAACAATTTGTATTTTTTTCGACTATCATTACATTAAAATGTTATTTTTTAATATCACGAGGTGGCGTTGGTGATTACGATGGTAATGTCATACCTTTGAATAAGAAGACTAACGGCCGTATTCATAGTCGAGCGCCAGCCGCCCGCCGAAAAGAAGCGCTCGCCGAAGATTTCTCCGGCGAGCGCTTCGATATCGGGAGAGAAAAAAAGCTCTTTCATAGTCGGCCGCCAGGGCACCGCTTGCTGGCGAAAATGACGGCGCGTCGCCAACAAAATTTCACTTCGGGTGGAGGGTTTTAACAACAGGGAACATGTTTTCTTCCTTTTTCTACACAAAATCGGTTATACGAACTTTAACATTCTCTAAATATTTAAATATTAATAATTTAAATATCTTATTGATATTGGGTAATTTAAATATTTAATTGATGTGTCCATTATTTTGTTATAATTTGTTTTAAAGTAATGAATAATATCTTCGTAATCCTTCACTTATAGTAAAAAGATTTACAATTTTTTATATACATATTTTTTTTGGCTAGGTATATTTTTGGGTCATAATAAAAAGGATATTAAGTTAATAATTTACATAATGGGGAATTCCATAGGTCTGTTCGGTTTTATTTGAAAGTTTTATGGATTCGTTTCTATTACGTTTATAAATTTTTATAGACCTTAACCTTAACCTATTGGTGCTGTGTTAAGGATTTTAAAATTATTTTAAGGGAAAATATGACCAGAGTAGAAGTAATTTATATTTTTAAATTGGCTCTAGGTATTTTTGTTTTGTGTAGATGACTGATGTTTGGTGAATTTGGTATATTTTTTCCAGTTTGTGTAAATTACAAAGAGAATTAATGGAATAAACGTAAAAACAATAGGAAAAATAAAAAATCATAAACATAACAAAAACAAAACGATAAAACATTTAAATGGTCAAATAGACGGACGGAATTCATATGCCTCAAATGTAATGAATAATGGCCTCAAAAATACGAATGTCATCGTTCTCGTTAATCGTCACAATATTATAAATATCCATAATTAATTCAGTTTGCTTGGTGCTTCTTTCAACTAGAGAAATAAAGCATACTAAACTGGCGGACCGCCCGGAGATGGTAAGGACATGCTCCAGTCGCCGGCCGAAAATCACCGGATGGGGTTTAAACTGCGCAAGTGTTCTTCGCCTGGAGATCGACTATGAAACGGAAAAAAAATACTTATCCAACCGCCCGCCGGCGAGAGAGCGGTTACTCTATATGACGGATGTGCGCACGCGTTACTCGGAGAGCGCTCGACTCTGAAATAAGAACGAAGAATTTCGGGAAAGCTCCCGCCAGCGGGAGGCTGGCGATCGGCTATGAATACGGCCGTAAGTAAGGAGCATAATGCTATCCATGTATTCATGCATGGTGGGCGGAAAAAGCACCATAAAAGCACTCTAGGGTGGGGATCCTTGACAGTTCTGTTTGACGATTCATTTGACACATTTGAATTTGATTTGAAATTTTGTGGATTTGTCAGTCTTTACGGAGCTTATTTTATGTTATTTATTATTTATTCTACTACTGATAGTTGTATAAAGGTAGTAAATCTAGATGGAAATTGTGGCAGCACTTAAATTAACAGTGACACTATCGCGATTTATCGAAAAAGACTCTAAAATAGTTGGTTGTGTAGCGTGCGGTAGATCTCGGCAAAAATTGAGTGAAATAATGGAACAACTTTTCGCGCTAGTAAGTGACTATATAATATACATACGTGTAGTAAACCGATCATTTATGAAATTCACTTAAATTAACTAAATTATATATTTTTCTTGCATTTTAGCTTTTATTTATTACTTGTCAAAGAATTTAGATACGTTAATTTGACTTACCTGCTTCAGTAGCGTATCGGATGTTAGTGGTAATAAATACTTATTATAACTTATCTATTTTTATTACAATTACATAGTTTTATAACAATTTTAATAACTACCAACATTTATTCACAACGTAAAATAAAACAACAAATTATTGAGTCTACCCTACATCATAGTCATCTACCCTACATCATAGTTTTACAATTTTTAAATAAAATTAGAACGACACTGATAAACCGGAATTTAAGTCGGCCATATTTGAGGCCCATCGCGGTGTACCTAAGATTTTTGATATGCTCCTTCCTTAGTCTTCTTATTCAAAGTGTCATACCGACACTGATTAGAACTCTATATTAAAATTAAAAAAAAAACTTTAAACAATAACGATATATGTAGGTATAGTTTTAATAAATATTAGTAACACTAACAGAACTAAGGATATTAAAAAAATAACTGTAATAACTAACTGTACAAACAAACAAAAAAACTTTACTCTAATATTTTGTATTGCTTCCCCCGGCTACTATAACTGTCTGTAGCCGTCGGTTCATACTGTTAATGAGGCTGCAAATATATTGTGTTATGTTTTCCCATTCTTCTTCAAGAATCAAGCAAATATTCATAATTTCAGCCAAGATCAATAACAAGATCAATGACTTGCACAATCTTCGACACTAAGAACCATATTCAATCGTACACAACAATAATCGCCAAACGATCGCCAGCTCATCATTATGTAGAATAATATCAAAAAGTAACGATAATGGAAAAAATTGCAAAATGTTTGTGGCAAGTTTATTTTGCTCTTAAAAATTAACCAAGGCATGTGTTGACGTGAGTTAAAAACAAAATATTCAGAAGTCATGGTTCTGACCGAAAAATAATGTTTTAGGAAAATTTGCTCACGAAATTATTGCACAGGACGTTCTAAATATAGGGAAAAAAACAACTCTCCGATTAACCCTGTATAATAAGTCCAATACTAATACAACCAATACTAATACTAATAAGTTTATAATAAACTGAGATTACGAATTAAAGTTGATATATTTATATAAACTTTGCTAAAAAATCAAAGAAATAAGACTAAAAATTAAAGAAATATAACATTTTAAAAAAACTAGACCAAAAATTCTTCCGTTGACTTTTTTTTACATCTGAGTGGATTTTGAGGTCACTAAACAACGAAATATTCAATAATACATTTTGAAACTATAAATTAAAAAAAAATGTATTAATAGAAAATACTTACCTCTACTATCACCCCACCATCGATCTTCATAAAACAAATAAATTTTGCATATCCCAGCAAATCCCATCCTTTCAATACTGCCAACTATATTTTCTGGAAGAATATCGGAGAGATTCCCGAAAGTCTTTAAAACTCCCAACGAAGGTGTTAATATCAAATGATCACAGACAATAACTTGCTTATCAGAAAGCTCTAACACTACTTTATTGTCATTCTCATAATATATTCTGGTAACTTCGCTATTATATTTGACACAGCCTTTAGGTAAATCGTCCAAAATCACTTCGACTAAGGAATTGTACCCGTATTTTAGGTTGTAGTGAGCCACATCGTCCAAACATACGTAATCGCCCCAGCTTTTGGCACTTAGTTTTGACAGACTCAGGCAAGAATTGTCGATTACTTGGAACCTCAGGTGCCAATCGTATAATTCTCTTAAAACTTCTCTTTCGTTCATGTTCGAGTGGCAGTTTATGTAACTGTCAAATCGCTGTTTCAAGTAGCTTTCTATTGAAGGAGGATGGTCATCCGAGTTTGTGAAATTTTGACAGTCCTCTAGAATCTTTCCTATTTCAAAACTGGTCCGTTCTACTGTAAAGGAATCTACAATTTCGCCATTACCTCTGACGTAGAGACCTAAGCCTTCTTCTGACATTTCATCTGAAAAATAAGATTGGGTATATTTCAAATGTGATGCGTGTAATAACATTTAAAACATTTTATCTACGTCAGTGTGTTAAGAAACTCTTAACTCACGCATTTTGAGTGAGTTAAGAGCTTCTTAACTCACGCGTTTTCATTACCGCACTCCTTGCTTAGTTCACTACCAAAGAGAAAAAAATATTTTGTAAAACATTTATTTTGCACTAAACTGGAAAAATATGTTATGAGTTCCTTTTCATTTCCATAGTTGTGTACTTTTTTTTCGGTGCACCATTTTTCATACTTAAGTATGTATATTCATACAGATCTTGCTGGAAGCAATCCAGAAATGGCTCTGAATGCCTCTTCTTCAGTGTGAGAGGAAATACTTTCCGAATCGCTCATTTTTTAAACTAGTGACATGAATATTATTTACTGTCATATTGACATTGGTGTTATTTGAACAAAGGTATTAAGGTAATTGATTTTTAGGATAGGTATATAGTTAAGTACAATAATTTTTAAAATTCATTGTGTGTTTTTATAATTAGACGTAGATAAAATATTGTACAATACAGGCGAGTTAACTCCATTAAGATACTTGTATGGTTGTGCGGTGAAGAAAAAGTTTTCGAAAAATATACAGATAAATTTAAAAGAAAATGCACGATTTTCAATTTTTTTTGCGAAATAATGATTACGATTTATTCCCTGTTCCTACTTTAAAGTTTATAATTAAGCCAGATTGTCTACGGATAATTATGGAAAAATATGGAAAAAAGAAGTTTAGCGCTGAAAGAATGATATGTTTCACTAATGACAATTTTTCCTTACTGAAAGTGTTGTCTCAGCTTCAACAAATGGCTAGTGAAGATAAGCTGGAAAAACTTAAATTAAATATAAATGATGAAATATTCAAATCATACACGATAAGCGATTTTAAATTAGTAGGCCAAGATTTTTTAGAAAATACTAGAATATATCTATACAGGGAACCCAAAGTAATTACAGAGGAAGAAGAAAAATTGAAATTGATACAACAATTGCATGATAATCCATTGACAGGAGGACATTGTGGACAAGACACTTTTGAAGAAGTTAAGATCATAATGCCGTTGGAAAAATTTATCTCGTGATGTTGCTACCTACGTAAAAAATTGCAAGAAATGCCAACAAAAGCAAAATTAAACACATTGAACCCATGGTAATTACGCCTACTCCACAACAACCGTTTGATATTGTTTCGATAGATACTATTGGCCCATTTACAAAAAGCGAAAATAATAATGCTTACGCTGTAACTACATAATAATACAGTGCGAATTAACCAAATATGTGGTCATTGCACCTGTTCCAAATAAAGAAGCTCTTACGGTGGCAAAAGCAATAGTAGAAAATGTTATTTTAGTATTTGGCCCTATGAAGGAAATTAGAACAGATATGGGTACCGAATATCGAAATGAAGTTTTAGAGCAGTTGTCGAACATTTTAAACATTAGTCACAAATTTTCAACCGCGTTAAAATTTTCAACACCGTTAGTTGCGCCCTGGTGGTACGAAAGTACTACCATTGCACGCAGGCCGCTATCTCCCGTTCGGGACTTAATATCTAATCGACACTTTCCGACAAGTCGGAATTAACTATCTCTGCGCTGTGGTTGTCATTTTGTGGATCTACCCAAGCTCACCTGATGATGGAGTAGGGCTCCGAAACCGGTAGTGAGAGCAGGTTGATCCACATTATGACAAACACAGCGTAGAATTAAATTACTATATAAGCAGTTAAGTGGCAATTATGTTATACTTAATTATCACGATAACACGTATTGAAATTTAATTTAGGGTTGATAATAATTTCTATTTTAGAGTACTTAAATGATAATTAATTTTTTATTGGTCGAATTACATTTTCTAGAAACTGGCCAGTCTCAGTAAACTCTGCTATAGTAAAGGCCACGAATGTTTGGGAGTGATTTATCGGTCGCTACCATGTGAACTAATCTGTTCAAGGTCACATAAAACTTAATTCCAGTGCCGTGGTGTTTCAAGTCATTATAATAATCAATATATAATCTGTTGTAATTTGTTGTTTTAACTGTCAAAGTCTTGTCAAAACATATATTTGGTTATAAATATAAAATGGAATGCCCCATTGGTCGCCCTGCAAGCACACCAATGGACTGACGCACAAAAACGAATCAATCAAAGAAACGCGATATAGTATCGTCTTTGTCAATCACGCTAACATTTTAGAATAAGTAGGAGGAGCGCAGGCAGATGATTAGACCGAACCTACGTCTGCGATAAAAATATACGTTGTTAATGTAAAAATGATAGCGCGCGTGTCGATTCTAACTTCATCAAGCGATGAATCACTCCCAAACATTCGTGGCGTTTACTATATTAACATTAATTAGTATTAAGGTAACCTAGTTTTAATATTTAACAACCATAGCAATAATCCATCGAACATTATGAATTTATATTATACGAAGGTAGAATAAATTAGTATTAGCATGGCAACAATCGAGTAATCATTTACATGATACACCTAAACACATTTTTACAAAAACCTCGTAGACGTGGTTCCTGGAGTAGAAATATATCACCCCTGAAAATGTTTGCACTTATTTAAGACCCACCCTGTATATTTGGGACAACTCATACACAGCTGAGGATATCTACTACCAGATAGCAACAGAAGAATTAAGTTAGCATGGAGTACTTATGGAAGTAACTCAATCATATTCATCTCTAGAATGCCACCTTATGTAAAGAAAAAAACATTCGACCAATGTGTAGTACCAGTCATGACCTATGCATGCGAAACCTGGACACTTAAAACGAACATTATAAGGAAACTTCAGGTCGCACAATCTTCAATGGAACGAAATATGCAGGGAATACCCAAAAAAGACCGTAAAAGAATAGATTGGATACGACAAAAGACCCAGGTAATAGATGTCATCCACGGAATCAAATCCCAAAAGTGGCAATGGGCAGGACACCTGGCAAGAAGGACGGACACCAGATGGACCACAAAAATTCCACGAGGAGTTAAGAGACCTAGAAGAATACCAAACCTGAGATGGGACCTGGATATTAGGATATCAGAAGGGATAACTTGGGCCCGCCTAGCCAATCTACAAAGAGAATATCTAAAATGTGAGGAAGGCTACACCACAATTGGAAATGGTTGAATAAGCTAAGGATGATAATGATGTTAAACATAAATTGAGATTGATTGAAGTATTCAATAAGTTTGGTTTACTTTCTGTTTCACCAACTTTTGATTTCTAAATGATAGCTTCTTTTGTATTCTGAATAGAATGGCATATCCTATGTCAAGTTTCGATACCTTCCCTTAAAAAATACTATTTAAATTTCAGTCTAGAGTGCCATGGGTTGACAAACCATTAAATTTAATTAAGAGGCTTTGTTTTTTTTAAGTTTTGATATTCTTCTTCCTCAGTCTTTGTATAACGATAATTTTGTACTATAAAGAGCAATATCATATATTTTCCTTAACATACCTTACATACCTGAAAGAAGATCATGTTTCATTGCTAAATGATACAAAGGATTATCTTTCCCATGTAACCACTGAGCTCCCAAATCTAAAGGTTTATGATCGACCATAATGGTTTCAATTCTTCCTCCAGGCCTGTCTTGACTTTCTAATATTACAAACTCTTCTACGTTGTTTTGCATCAACTCAGATGCAGCTCCTAACCCTGCCATTCCTGCTCCTACTATAACAATTTTGTGGTTTTGACGTTTCCTGTATTAAATAAATTTTGTAAAATATTGATAATAATTTTGAGTGGATTGAACGAAAGTAAAGTAATACATACATGCACATTGAAGAGGTGTCTGCCATTGAGAATTTTTTTATAATAATTATAACACAGAAGACAATAACATCACATAAAGAAGCAGAATATTCTGAGAAAATCACCAAAAAAAATGTCGTAAAAAATAGTAAAACATTCTACACTATAAGATGAAATGCTATAAGACTGATTAAAATCATTTATTTTTAAATAGTAATAAGTATATAATATATCGTTATTTAAAATATGACATCTCCAAAAATGTGGTCCCATATATACGTATAGTTGTTCCCTTTGAAGCATTTAGAAAGAAATACAAAAAGCAACAGTATATGTTAGTATTGATTATTATTATATTAGTATAGTTATTATTGAGTTAAAAATATTAGCATTTAGGATGGGCAGCTAACGCTTTTAACCAAAAAGCAATCAGTTTCAAATGTTAACAGACCTGAAAAATCCAAAGATTAAATAAACATTAAAAAACAGCCTTAATCTATGTAATTATCCATGTATATTTGATACCAATTAAACTTTTAGATACGTAATCGAGGGCGCAATTTTTAAATTCATTGTTGCCAATTCGGCGCCGACGATTGACATATTCGGCGCCGGGCTAACTAACTGGAATTTAAATTTTCCGCTGGGGATTCAGGTGGTAGCTCTGCTGTAAAAAAATGTCAAGTTGCCACATTTATTTATTTATGTCCTGACATTGTCATTCGTTTTGACACATTAGTTTTTTATTACTCATTTGAGTTTTTGGTTTAAATAACAGTGTTGTGATACTTCAAGCTTAAAAATGTTTACTAGCAGACCTTGCAGACGAACACTGTTCTTTTTAGAACCTCTTTTAGTGTGATGTGTACAAGATAGCTTAGTAGCCGTAAAAAACTCATCGCAACTTATGGAAAGGGCCATTACAACCAGTTTCCCGTTGAACGAAAAAGCGGTAGTAATGGCCTTTTATGTCCCTTAAGTGCTGTTAAGAAGGTGAGTTTTGTTGATGTAAATAGTAATAACTGTTTACACAGGGTGGCGCACCTCATTCGCCTCGGTTGATTATACGAAAACGGAAAGATGTAGAAACAAACTATTTTATGGGTATATGTGCGAAGGCAATGTGCAAAATTTAAAATTATTTTGAAATGTACAGGGTGTGTCAGAATTAAGATCCATACCAAAGTTTTATTTTTTCTTATGGAACACCTGGTATTTTATTTCATTTTTGGATTCTTGGACTTAAAATAAGGCATGTATTATAAGGGTTTGATATGTCTAAAAGCTTTGGTTTTTGAAATATTTAAAGATATTTAAATATGCATGCTATAATAAAAAGGTTTGTCAACACCTTGTACATTACTTTTCAGAATTAATTCTGGTGCTGACTTTCAAGCCAGAGAAATAAACTTAACTAAAAAATGTGATTGCTTCCTTAAATGTATACAGAGGTATCAAAAATTGCTGGTCTATTTTAACTATTTATTTTACATAAAAACTTCGTTATTTCAAATACAACACTATGTATTTTTTTAAATAAGTCAAAGCAGATATAAATACTCTTTCAAACCATATTAGGGTTTCCTATACCTATCTGGCTCAGATTTTGAATAAAAAGCGATTTTTCAATAAAATTGTAATCAAGATGGCTGGTGTCGCCATGGCAATTTTCTAGTGACACTTAGTAGCTATTTTAAAATCGACATTATTTTATGGACTTTATTTAAATTTATAACAGGTTATTTTTATTCAATTTACCTACAATAATATTAATAAGTAAATATTTATAATTTTATCAAGAAAAATGAAGCAGTATCTGCTGGCATAAGGAATGCATATGTTACTAGTGATTTTATTTTGTGAGGACAATTGCTTGTTGGCCTGAAGGGTTTATACTCAAAGATATCCAAATAGGAATCTTCCTGATAAGCGTTCCTTTGAAAAATTACTTTTCCTATTTCGCAGAGCTGATGAAAAACCTATTAGGCAGAAACCTGTCGTTGGAAGTGAAGAAAATGAATTTGCCTTAATTGGTTCTTTATAGAAAATCCAATACTTATATCACAGATTATGCAGATTATAATCTTTGTTTTTTCTTTATTGTTTTTCGTGGTTCCAATTTTCGGAATCGGGCACTAGTTAGGTGACTAGTTTGCGCACATAGCACGCCCACTTATGGCCTCTAAAATTGTGCACAGCGCCTGACCGGCACAGTTATTAGAGAGATATCGGAAAACCGAATAGCGTCATCCAGTATTTACGCGTACCTTATCATGGTTACGATATGCGCGAGTAAACGCAACACCCGCTAATAACATTACCGCCTGACGTAATTTGAGGATCAATTACACCAAGCGTTCTTTCTAAATAACCTCTGATAACGTTTAAAAATTGCTTAAATGGGTATGTGCGGGTATTTGACAACCGGAGCCGACCGGCGAGATCTTTTATTTTAGGTTATGTTTAAATTGTTTTGAATTATTGCTTTAGTTTTATTAGGTAATTTGATATTTAAGTAGCTGGGATTAGTTTTAATTAAATAAATATGGATTCCACCTCTTCCAATACTAAAGAACCTATAAAGAGTCTTAGGTTTACAGCAGATGACGACTTAGCCCTTCTAAGAGAATTTGTTGCTTGTTGCCCTAAACCCATTGGCAGACGTTGAACAATAAAGCACTGGAAATAAGCACTTTAGCCCTTTAGTTTTAAAATACCTAGTAAACAAAACAAGTTCAAAGTTTTAAATTCAAAGTTAGGTTAAGTTTAAATAGCGGACGCGACGCGATCAGAATTCTTTCCGATCCGATAACTATAAATGAAGAGAGTTAATACCACCTCACGTAAAGGAAATAATACCTGGCCTTATTAACGTCCATGCACGCTATTCGGTTTAGCGAAATCTCTCTATTACGCTGTTTATTGTTATTTTACGCGAGTTTATTTTTGCGCACAGGAAATTTGACTCGTTTGCACATCGTCATAAAAAACAATTTTCGTACCACGAATTAGGGACAAAATTTTTATCTGTATACTTATAGGATACCTAATCTGTGCTTATATCTACAAGTGTAATATAAATCAAAGAACTACTCCTTTATTTTTCTTGACAAAATAATAAATGCTTACTTATTAAACTGTTCTAGGTAAACTAAATAAAAAGTAAACTGTTATAAATTTAAATAAAGTCCATAAACTAATGTCGGTTTTGGAAATAGCTACTAAGTGTTACTAGAAAATTGCCATGGCGACACCAGCCACCTTGATTACAGTTTTATTGAAAAATCGTTTTTATTCAAAATCTGAGCCAGATAGGTATAGGAAACCCTAATATAGTTTGAAAAAGTATTTAAATCTGCTTCGATTTATTTAAAAAAATACATAGTGTTGCATTTGAAATAACGAAGTTTTTATGTAAAATAAATAGTTAAAATAGACCAGCAAATTTTGATACCCCTGTATAAATTTAAGGAAGCAATAAATTTTTTTAGTAAAGTTTATTTCTCTGGCTTGAAAGTCAGCACCAGAATTAATTCTGAAAAGTAATGTACAAGGTGTTGACAAATCTTTTTATTATAGCATGCATATTTAAATATCTTTAAATATCTCAAAAACCAAAGCTTTTAGACATATTAAACCCTTATAATAAATGCCTTACTTTAATCCAAAATCCAAAATAAAATACCGGGTGTTCCATAAGAAAAAATATAACTTTGATATGGATCTTAGTTCTGACACACCCTGTACATTTCAAAATAATTTTAAATTATGCAAATTGTCTTAAATTACCCTGTACATCGACCTACATGTACACATAAAAGATTTTCTAAAAAATAACATAACAATGGAAATAGCAGAAGAATATATATATTTGCGACAACTAATACACAGTTCGGGATCTCTACTACATCCAGAAATCAACAGAAGAGTTCAGTGAGCATGAAGTACTCCATGCTAACTGATGAAAAAACTCATTCGTATTCAAAATTAGAATGCCACTTTATCTAAAGAAGAAACATTCGACCAATGTGTCTACTACCAGTCATGGTCCTATGCATGCCAAACCTAGACACTTAAAAAAGACGAACATTATAAGGAAACTGCCGGTCACACAATGCTCAATGGAACTGGAAATATGCTGGGAATAACCAAGAGAGACCGTAAAAGAATAGAGTGGATACAACAAAAGACCCAGGTAATAGATGTCATCCATAAAGTCAAATTCCTCAAGTGGCAATGGGCAGACACATTTTTTTTCGTGGGGGAAAAATCTGCAAACCAGAGAGCGTAAATGGTACTGTCATTTCAAAATAATTTTAAATTATGCACATGTACACATAAAATATTTTGTTTCTAACGCTGTACCGGTCGAGCTTATCACGTGACTAAAAGTTTATTTGATATGAACTATAGATAAATTATATCCATGTAGATCTGTTTTCATATTTTTATTTTGTATTTTATTTAATTTTCATATAATATACTAAGGACTGGCAAAGTTTAGTCTTGGGTCGAGATTTCCGTATGTAAGAAGAGTATAATACAATGCGGTTATGATTTTTTAAACCCGATGCAAAACCTATAGCTCCATCTATGTGTAACCCGACGTATTATACACCTAAAGGAATTTATAGAAAAATAAATGGGATTTTTAGGATGTACAGTTTTCTTTAAATCAGTACTTCGTCATCTTGCCCCGTTCGTCATCATGCCCCGACCTCCCCTACATCATGCGTTCAGCTTCAGGATTTAATTACGTCTCGTGACGTGATTTGTTTATTAACGAGTGGTTGTAATTTTCCCTATAGCTTGTAAATTTTTAAGTTAGAAACACCTGCATTTTTGGTAAAAATAAGTGGAAATGAGTTGGTGTGCGACAGTGATCGCGCTATTAGAAGTCTGAATTCATAAATCTAGAAATCTATTAGAAATAATTGATTGTATTTTTTTCAAAAACTTTCTTAATATTTCTGCCATATTTTCTTCGCAGAAAGTAGTGAAAATCTTTATAAATAAAAAAGTTACACAATTGCTGAAAATTGCTATGCACTAAAAGTAAATGGACGGGTTGCTTAAAATTTTTGAATGGAAAAGAAGAACCTCTCTTATCGAATTTTTCTTATTTGTATTTATCTTAAACATATTGTAAAAGGTCCGATCTTCAAAATAAAAAAGTTGCAATATCTAAAGTGGTTCTTGAGTTATAGCGTGTTATGTGTTAAAAAGTTGAGTTTTTAAATTATCGCGATTACTGACGTTTTCTCGTTATAAAAAAATGGACACCCTAACGATATTCTTATAATTCCATTTCAGATGCTCAGAAACATATCTAATGATTTTATCTAGTTATCTTTTCGAAAAAAAGGTATTAATTAAAAATAAGCGGTTTGCGATCGTAATTTTACTTTACTTGATAGGGAAAGGCGTACCGGCAACGCTGCAACAGTACACGGTCGCGTTTCTCTCACTCCCACTTTAATAAGATCCCTATGCAATTTACTTCCACACATCATGTAAATACCGACCCAAAAGTAACAGTTGCCAGCACGGTATAAAGTGCTTAAACAATGTGCATCAGCGTTAGGTTAGATCAAATTTAGTGACATACATAGGAGGCATATAGTTTGTTCAGCCATCGTTCAACGTCACGTTTTCAACATTTTGTAAATTACTGCACATTGTTTTTACTAATTGTCATTGTCATTTGATTTGGGGTTTCAATTTTATTAACGGATATTGATCACTGTCAAAATTTGTTTTTAGTAATTGCCATTGTCGTTTGATTTTCGGTTAAAATTTTATTGGCGGACATCGATCAATAAAAATTAAAATTGGCGGACATCGATCGTCAAAATTAAAATTTGATTAGGCTGTCAAACAATTTTAATTTTTAATTTGAAATTCAATTTTTTTATTTCTAAAATGCGTTGCTGATTTAGCGAGAATGAACAAGTTCTCATTGCAAAATTTATTAGTTATTTTACGCGAGAAAAAAGACACAGGTCTTTTTCCTAGTCGATGAAGTAATGAAATATGAAGTAATTACAATACAAACGCGTATAGTCTTATGTAAACACAAATCAAAAGATCAATCAAAATTTAAACGATCAAAATGAATAAAGGTCTATCATATCTATTTGAATATAATAAAAAGTGAACTTAATCTAATAATTTCAGAACGTATTTAAAATTTTTGTAAGCAATATGAGCTGATCTCAGGCATACCCTAAAACGCATATTTGACAGATAATGATGAAGTAACGTTGAACGATCGCTGAGCAGACAATATAATATTCAATATATTAATTAAAGCTTCAGAAATATAACTGTTCTTTAGATAAAACGTACGATAAAAAAACAACATAGCGGCGTTTGAAATGAAAATCGTTTTTTCTTGAGACCATTTACTAAACAGGCATAAAAATGAGTAAAACTTTATTAAAATGTAAAAAGTTTCAAGACTAGAAATTATGTCAAGATACACTGTAAATGAAATTCTGAATGTATATTAAACGTATTAGCTTTATCCACTTATAAACTTCAGCTTAGTTCACAGAAATGATTCCTTTTTAGTATAGATAAGAGTAGATATGATCGCCTCTGACTAAATGAAAGCTTTTGAAAAGAGACTCGATATTATATAATTATATTTTAGCCCTTGGGTTGGCATTTTAATTAAAATTCTAAAGTAATGACATCATAATAAATTTAATTACTCTCACAGGAAAATACCCCTGAAGAGTAAACAGATTATAGTTTAATTATTCATATATTTAAAATGCCTTAAGGTCATACACTTAAAGCAGAAATTCGTCAAAGAATATGTTAAATGCTCTTATAAACTAAAAGAAAGAAGGAAATGCAAACCACTTTCTGACATAAATCTGACTATGCTCCACTTACTTACTTGTAAAATTGTATTAGCCGGTCTGCTTCTCTATAACCAGAGTCAACAGCTCCATGTACAGTAGAAAAGTATTTCCTATGAGTAGCTTCTCCAGCAAAAAGAACTACATCTTTACCATCACAGTTTAAAGGCTCAATAATTTGACGTCTTACTTCATCAGAATCTGTTGATTCAGCATTAACATATGAATATGTTCCTTTGAAATGAGCATTAGTTCCCCAAGTCGACCTATCATTACAAAAATCAAAAGTATTTATTAAAAATATATTGAATACAATGTAATTTTTGCATGAAAGCTTGGTAAAATATTTTATCTATAGACAGAATATAGCCTAATAAGTAAATAATTGTTAGCTGGTCATTTAAATTAAAAAGTAAATATTTATTTCTGCCAATTCTTGAATGTCGTAAGTTGAAATCTTCTTTTATTTCACTGGGCAGACTTTTATATTTTACTAGCTGACCAGGCCAACGTTGTTTTGCCATATAAATATTTTCAGTCATTTTTATTCACGAGGTTGAAAATAATTATTGAATTACTAATATCGCTATTAAAAAATAGAGGTTAATGGCAAAGGGGTGAAAATTTAGGGTTGTATGTGTTTTTTACCAAACCAAACCAAATCACATCATCAAAAAAATTATCCAAAAAAATAAATTAAAAAATAGGGGTAAACCATCCTTATCACTTAACCTATTCTCAGACTTATTGAATATACATATAAAATTTCACCAAAATCGGTTAAGCCGTTTCGGGTGGAGTATGGTAACTAAAACTGTGACAACGAAATTTTATATATTAGATTATTTTTTTATATTTTATTACAGTTTTATTGTGCATCTGTAATAGCGCTTTTTTAATAGATATGCTACGCTCAATAGTCGAAATACGCAAATCTAGTTTTGAGCAAGGAATATTTCCCAAACCCGAAAAACCAACTAACCAATGAATTACACCCGCCAAATAACCACGCTAACCAACTCACCAAATAACCAATCCAACCAAAAAGAGTGAAACCAATGCAATCAAATCACACTAAAGCAAAAAAAAATAATAAAATAAAATTAATTTTTCGGGTTTGGGAAATATTCCTTACTCAAAACTACTTAGATTTGCGTATTTTTCTCAGGCATTGCCCGAATTCGACTATTGACCGTAATAGATATAATTACCCAAGTAGCATTTTCACGACTTGCGGCCACATGTTTACTAAACACAACGTTGGATTAGTTACAAAAAATAGTTAGCTCCCTACCTTAGGTATTAAAATAAATTTAAACGTTTTTATAACGTTGTGCCGACGTTGGACTAGTACTACAGCAAAGTAGAAGCTTCTGCGACGTCGAATAAACGTTGTCGTGTAACCTTTTTTGCTTAAGTGATCTTTAGGTGATTCGGACAACGTAGTTACAACGTTGGACAATATAGAGTTTTCCGACGTCAGTTTCAGGACCTATTCCAACGTTATGCAAACGTCGTCTGTTTTACTAATTCCAACGTTGTTTATATTTCCTTATTCTTACGTTGGTAGGACGTCGAGTCACTACCTTTTTGCAACTGTATTGAACCATGACCTTAAATCTTAAATTTTCACTTCATTGTTCTGTTCAGTCAGACAGTTCAGTGCTGTTTTTGTTTTTATAAAAAAAAAACTTAATTAAAATGGGACATAAGAAAGGTACATATAAAACTAAATTTAAATATACATCGACATATATTACCGACCCACCTAGCAAATATAGTTCCCAGTCCTTTTTAAAATGTCACTGCCCCTAAAGCATCCCTAAAGTATAGTTCCTAGGCCCACTCTGCCACTTAAAATATTACTCTATAAGGAATAGTAACTTTGAAGTATATTTCGAGAGTAACCGGTTAGTGCCTACCTACCATAAAAGTGGAAAACAAACACCCCGATTGCAAGTCGCAAACATGTAATTTAAAGAAGTGGCTGGAACTACCCGAATCTTCGTATATGACACCATAAAAGACCAAAAACTTTATAGTAAGTTTTCAAAGTAGGGGTTACTAACAAGTGCTACCATAATGCCTACATTAAGTTTTTGTTACTTTATAGTAACAATTTAAGTTACGGGGTAGTCGCGGCCACGACACCTAGTTACTTCTAATTTATAGTAGCATTGAAAGTAGCAAAATGGTTACTGCTACCTTCCTAGGTTACTGTAAAGTAGCCGTCGCTCATCCATTGCCACTAAAAAGTCACGGGGATCAAAAACGGCTACTTTATAGTGACCGTAACTTAATATACCCTAATAAATATAATTGCCTCAGATTGCATCGTGTGCTACTGTTTTAGTGTTTTCTTTTACTTGCTTTTAAGCTTTATTAAAATTTTGAAAAATCCTTAAATTAAAAGGTTAGAATTAAACAAAAGGAATCACTGCGAGCCGATGCATCAACATCAGAAACAAAAACTACATCTTTCTATAATCCTACTGATGAACATCATATATCAGGTAGTGACTGAGACATTTTTGAAGCTGTTTCTGTAGATGAGTGTAGTGTTAGTTCATTTGAAACTGAATCTCAGAGGAGAACTAATTTGAGAACCAACAACAATATAAAACAAGAGCTAAAAGAGTGGGCGTTAAAATACTCTATACCTCATGTAGCTCTGAATAATATAAATAAATGAATGCCTTTATTGTCAAAAAAAAATTACAATTTGTAGATGAAGGTAAAGTAAACAAAGTAAACAAACAAGCAAACAAAGTACACAAACAAACAAACAAAAGATAATACAAAACATTATACAAATAATAAAGAAGTGGAACTATAATATAGAAACACTAATAATAGAAAATGCACAATAACTAAAAAATAACTTCAAATGACAAGGCGGAACGTTATAATGGTACCAATGGAATGTATAGTCGCCACTGCCACGATCAGTGTAGCATAACGCTCCAATTAAGTGGCAATTTGGTGGCGCAGGGAACTTTCTTGGAAAAAATCACTTTATGGTTCCAAAGAATCGTTGACCATGTAGTTCCAAAAAAGTTATTGTTTCTATAAAGTCGCCTTTGGGTAGCTACAATTGTCACTTTATCAATCCGAAGATTTTAAAGGTCCAAACGGGAAGGGTTGGACTAATATGTTATTGTTCCCGGTACTTTGTGGAAGCATATGGAACTATACAGTATTACTCGGATTAAACGGCCATATTTTTTTCATGAATTTTTAGACGAACAGCCAAATGGTTCAAACATTATGCGTTTTTGAGCTAAATATACCTAGATTAAAGCTTTTTTCCTTAGTTATTTTGTTGGTGGACTAATATTTTAAAGTTTGACCCCGGTTTCAAGCAAATTATTATTATTTTTTAATTACAACCATGAGTTTCGATTGCAAATAATATAATAATTTGAAATATTTTGAGAGGCGCTCGAAAATTTTGTTATATAAACCCACTATTTTATTCGGTAAAGTTGATTGCGTTCTGGAATTTACCTAAAAAAGGCGTTAAAATCGCACGGTAAATAACAAATAACGAAAAAATATTAATGGCTTCCATAATTATTTTTCATCGTGACATTTATTTTTATGAAATGTGAAATTGCATGAAGGAGTCGCTGCGAATAAAGTTCAACAGTTTAACGAAAGTTCCACATGTCGATGGATAACACTTGGCTGCCACGGCCCAGCAACTAGGCAGGTTCGTACCGGATAAGTCGCATTCACCAGTAGGCTACTTTATAGTAACACATCATAGTAACTCTTTTAGTGGCAAAAACTACCCAAGACACTACCCGGCTACTCAAAATCTTTCCCCATTTTGGTCGCAGTTACTTAGCAGCTACGAATATACGACGTAGCCGCCGATGGTCACTGCCCACTTTGTAGTGGCTTTGATAGTAGCAGTTACGTATCTGCCACTATAAATGCTAGTTGGGGATAGTTTATCCACTCCCTTGTTTATTTAGATTATAGAGGGCGGCACAAGCTAGACTCTAGGATGACTAAATTAGGCAATCTTGCGACTAGTATACTACCTGTTAAGGCCGAACTGCGACTTTATTAGTTCAGTATGCGACTACTCGAACTACTCCATCTTAATCTCCAAAACAACAAAGTGAAAGCCGCCATGTTGTTAAATAAGAAAATGTTTCGTTCCTAAAATAGCAATTCCTGCTTTTTGAATACATTAACTAACTAATATTTGACCCTAAAAAACATGCGGAAACAATTTTTTCGACTGCGAATAAATTATCCTCATTTTACTAAAAAAAATTCAAGAAAATTTTTAAAACTTCTTTAATTTTAAGGCCCATTAGTATTTTTCAAAGTAGAAACAATACATTTATCAATAAAGTTGTTTGCGTTTAACTTTTTTGCCTTGGGTAACGAGTAACAGAGTCGGTTAAAGTTTCAATAATTATGATCTTCAAACATCCTCCACACTTAAATACTTTTGTTTTGTTTTCCTTCACTGCCATCTGACATATGTCTCTAACTAAATCATAAAAATAATATTTTTACTATAATTATCCCAATTTAGGATAAAACGCGACTTAGACGCCATATTAGTTTTGTATTTCTGTGAATTAGGATTTTAAACAACGTTGCAGTTTGTACTAAATTAGGCTTCTAGCCAACGTCGGTATCCAACGTCGTTTCGACCCAAAAATTATTCTCCAAACTAGTGCAGACTAGGGTTGGCACGAGGTTGTGCCGACGTGGCGCCCCGACGTTTGGTCGAGTGACACAACGTTGTCCCGACGTCCAAATGCTGCTTGGGGCAGCACTTTAATGCATAATCCTACATTTGTATAGAAAAAATAGCTACTATAAATACAACAGCCCACTTTTTGTCTCCCCCTCCCTTTCCTTTTTGTCCGCATTCAAAAAACACATGTGTTGTATTTCGTAGGGAGATTCCTCACGTAAAAATAAGATTTATTTTGTATACCATTACAGGTCCGATTCTGGCTATGTTTCGTAGCTATAGAGGATTAAAACACAGAGAACTCTGTTATGTTATCTGCGGTTAAAATCTTTATTTTTTTCAATATATTATAATTTTCCTTCAGGTGATTAGAGTTTAAATTGTTCTTTTCGATTTATTATAATTTTCTTCCAAATGCTTTTAGCGATTCGATTGAAGTTATTATGAATTTTCACTGGAATATTTCTATTAAAAAATACCTGTGCGACACTGATTTTTTTCTCTTGTTAGCACAGCTGTGCTGGCCGTTTAATGGCGATTAAAAGTTCTCTCTTGATATGTTCTCGATTTCAGTCTCCTTAATGAGATAAACAGAATTTTATTAATTTGCTTTAATCGAAGTCTAATAACATCCTTTAAATTTTTTTAATGTTATTAACTAGCCAAAGTGTTAAATAAGTATTCATTGGTTCCACATCAAAAAATATGAGAAAATATTCATATAAAAATAGGTGCCGAAATGCATAGTATTTAATGTTTGTTGTTTTAGTTCTGTTTGGATTACTTTTTACTTGTGCGAGTAAAAGAGTGTTTTTGTTTAGTTTATTGTTTCCAACTATTTTTTGATATTTTTCCAACTCCATGATAATGTGTTATAATTAATAAAAATATAAATAAAGTTGAAGATTAGGTGAAATGTCAGTCAACCACTTCCCTTTAAAAACACCGACCAATGAAAACTTCTTCAGGCATGCGCAGTTAAATGAATATCCAGGTGAAATAGACTTATGCAGGATTGATATTTCTCTTTCGCTGTTTCAGCTTCACATTTTAGAGATTATGCTGAATATATTTAGCTATATGTATATGATTGGACCTATGATGATGTTATGAAAAACAAATTTAATTTTTATAGAGATATGGCACGTGTTTTTTGAAACACCCTGTAGATCACATTCAGGTTAAAAAAAAACCTTTCAAAGAAGTCATTTTGTAAATTTACATTACAGCCATACCTAATTATGTGTTCTGCTTCAGGTATATCATAATTTTTACTCAAAAATTTTCTTAAAAGAAACATGCTGCCTTTTAACAACGTCTCTTCTGGAATCAATTCAACTTGTTTAGTCATCGGTCCCACAAGCCATCCAAGAAGAATATCTGGATGGGATTCGACACTATAGAAGCCAAAAAGATCTTGCAACCATAATCTGAAAAGTAAAACAAAAACGTAAATATTGGCATTGCTACAAATAATTTAGATTGTCCAAAAACGGGGATAACCTACCCTCTACCCTAAATCACCCTGTATACTACCGTATAAACGAAAAAAAAAACAGCACCCAGTTACCTTAGAAATGACATTCGATGACATTCCAAAAGTTAATTTTACAAACAAAACGACAGTGATCTTTATTTCCAAGCCATCTATGACGCCGCTTTTTTTTCGATCGTATGGATTATTAATTTAATAAATTTTACCAATATACTGGGTGAGTCTCAAAAGTGGCTCACCCCTATATCTTTTTTATTTTTTCAGATAAGAAAACGAGATTTGGTATGTTAGTTTATGACATAAATTAGGATTGATTTACGTATTCAATTGTTTTCGGTCACTTCCTGTTCCAATCCGGAAATGACTACAACTTTTGATTTTTAAATGGCATCCTCAGTATATATTTTTAATTTATTCCATAGAAAATGACACTCTGAATAGACTGACATATCATATGTCAACTTTTGACATTTTTGAATATGGTTTATTTAAAATTGCAACAAGCGGTTCGTAACGGCAATTTGAGTTGAAATACCATATGTGTGGTATAAAATTATTCGTAAAAAAAATGCTTTTTCCAAATATCGTTCCATTTCAAACATTTCAGATATGATTAAAAATACTATTTAGGCATCTTTTCAAGGCCAGGACAAGACATTAAAAACATTAGACGATCAAATCTATTTTCCAACACTTTTTGATTAGAAGTTAGTGTTTTTAACACAGCCATGTCACTCTAGATGGACATTTAAAATACAATTTTGTTTTTAGCAAAAATGTCAAAAGTTGACTTATGTCATATACTAACATACCCAATCTCGTTTTCTTATCTGAAAAAATAAAAAAGTTATAGGGGTGAGCCACTTTTGAGACGCACCCGGTATTACCTTCCATTAAATACGGGTCCTTCTGAAAATTCTTCCAACAGTTTCTCCTTGTCTTCCTTGGTCCACAAAAAACTAAAGTCGGGCACATCGTCTGACCACCATTTCCTTGGAAATTTCAAGAATATCTTTATAATATTACCCAACGGAATCTGCTTAACAGCCTCTATTTTTGCCTTCGAAGGTTTTGGCACAAATACGTTTTCAAAAAAGTCTTTTAGTACAGTCAGAGATACGGTTACAATAATATGATCGGCATAATAAACAGAACCATCAGAACATTGGACTGTTACCTTGTTGGGACAGTTAATATTTTTGGTCCAAGATATTTTGGTAACTTCTTTGTTTAATTGTATTTTACTTTCCAACGATGTATTTTTCTAAAATAAATTTTAATATAGTAACAAAAATAATATATTATGTATCTTATGTATTGTAGCAAAGAATATATGCTAAATATTTAAATAAATTTCATTTGATCGACCCTAAAGACAATGGAATTTAGATTCAATATGTATTACGACAGCTTATTTATTAGACAGCCAACCAACTTACGATCATGTAAATGGAACTCTGGGTACGTCGTGTATCTTATTATGTAACAGGTCGAATTCTGAGGTCCATTGAGCACTGGTTTACAAAAACTAAAGGCTCCCACAGACGTTCAATTTTATCACACAGGCCTGTTTAAACCTGGTTTGTGCAGTTAAATGGGTACGTATGTGGGAAGTTCCGGCCGACTGAGCAGGCCTAATTTCAGCGGACACAGAGCCTATTTGAATTTGGTCTGCGCAAACTTACCTATATAGCGATTGGAATCAAAAAATTGAGAGTTTTTTTTCCAAAACAGACCTACAAAATATCCAGGGAGTTTCAATATTCTCTGGACCTAGAAATGCACAGACAAATGAGCCATAATTTACCTCTATACAAAAGTGCTTTGTTTGTCCGTTAGAGGGCATCAATCAAAAATAAACCCGAACGTTAGGTTAGGTTGCTGGGGTTTGGGATCCTGTGTTATTGTCTCTCCCCTGGCCCCCTTTCATTCTTTCTTTGCGTTAAAGCACTTCCAGCTCTTTGCAAAATTCCCGATGTCGCTGATTTTGGCTTCTGCTGCTTCCTCTAGTCACTCCAAAAAACATTACCCTAAAGTTTTAAAGCGTCGGTATTATATGCCGGACAGTGGCACAGCAGGTGCTCTATGGTCTCTTCTTCCTCTCCTCATTCTCTAAAGTAGTCGCTGGAAATCTTCCATCTCACGAGGTTTACCCCCGTGGAACAGTTTCCAGTGATGACACCTACAATTATGCGTACTAGGTTCTTTTTGTGCTCTAGTAGTTGTCTTTTTGCTATCAATCACTGGCCACAGTCTTCGTAGAGGCAGTCTTCACGATGTTGCCACGTCTCTTGCTGCTTGGTCTTGATGGTATTTTCTACAGCTTCCTTCAGTGTTTTGATCGTCACAAGTGGTGGGTTATCTGCCGGAATATTGGGACACCCTGTATAAAAGCATGCCATGTATATGAAAAATAAAAAATCCGCAGCAGCAGAAAAACTAAAGGAATTGATGCTGATTCGGAAGCAAATAGGGAAGCAGTTGAAGCAGCTAAGAGTTCTTTTAGAAAAATTACTTAACAAAATCTTAAAAAAACAAAAAAAAAAAATACGTAAAAATAAACAACCCGCCTGTGTTAAAGAACTCAGCGTCTCTGAGTGCTCTAAGCTCTAATGGGACTAGTGCTCTGACTGCTTGAATATGTACGAGAAAAGGCGTTGCAGGTGCAGCGCAAGTACTCAAAAACCAGCGAAGTCAACTGGCTGTCTAATAAATACTCTGTGATATTACCCTACTTATAAAGGTGTACTTACCATTAATATATTAAAAAGAGTGCGGTAGCCTTTATCTTTCCAATGCAATAACGGATTACCACCGCAGTTCACGTACGTTCTAAAACCGTCAGAATATATTTGATTCCAGGATTCAGCGGGATCCAGGCACAACGCAAATTTACTGATCCATTCTTCCAACAATTCGGCGACATGAATAACGTCCTTGTTATCTTTGCCAAATTCAGACAAAACTTGTTCATAGTAGCTAAAAGTATTTAAATTAATGTTAGTAATATACGAGGGCCAAACCACTTCAAAATCAAAATAGCAATTTTGAAGTTCACAGCAAGAGAGTGGAAAAATTGCTTTCAGAATTGGTTCCAACGGATGCAAAAATGCATTTCTCTTCGTGGAGAATACTTTGAAAAACAATAGTCTTTGAAAGTTATCTACTGTTGTTTTCTACCTCTATACCGGGTGCATTTTCAAAAGTGGCTCATCCTAAAGTCCCTAGATATATATATCTAGGGACTTTAGATATATATCTCGGGACCTAGATATATATATCTAGGGACTTTAGCTCACCCCAATAACCTTTATGTTTTTTTTTTCAAATAACGAAACGAGATTTGGTATGTTAGTACATGACATAAATTAGGTTTAATTGACGTATTTAATTGTTTTCGGTCACTTTCTGTTTCACCGGAAATGACTACAACCTTTGATTATTAAATGGCACCATCGGTATTTTTTACTTTATTCGATAGAAAATGACATTCTGAATAGAATGACAGAGCATACCTGGTGCGTCTCAAAAGTGGCTCATCCCTATAACTGTTTTATTTTTTCAGATAAAAAAATAAGATTTGGTATGTTAGTATATGACAAAAATTAGGATTGATTGACGTATTTAACTCGGTATTTATAATTGTTTGGGTCACTTCCTGTTTTACCGGAAATGACTACAACTTTTTAAATGGTATTTTTTTACTTTATTCGATAGAAAATGACATTCTAAATAGAATGACGTATCATATGTCAACTTTTGACATATTCGTTCAAAAACAAATTATATTTTAAATCTCAATCTAGAGTGCCATGTCATCAAAGAGCCTTCGAAAAATAGATTTGATCTTCTAATGTTTTTAGTGTTTTGTCCTAGCCGGTTAAAAGATGCCCAAATCGTATTTTTAATCATATATCAATTTTTTTTCAAATGGAATCGAGGTTGGCTCATTAGCATATGTATTTGGAAAAAGCATTTTTTTACGAATAATTTGATACCACACACTTGGTATTTCGAGTCAAATTGTCGTTATGAACCGCATGTTACAATTTCAAATAAACCATATGCAAAAATGTGACATATGATATGTTATTCTATTCGGAGTGTCATTTTCTATCGAATAAAGTAAAAAAATTCCAAGGGCGCCATTTAAAAATAAAAAGTTGAAGCCATTTCCGGTGAAACCGGGAGTGACCGAAAACAACTGAATACGTCAATCAATCCTAATTTGTGTCATATACTAACATACCAAATCTCGTTGTTTTATGTTAAAAAATAAAAAAAGTTATAGGGGTGAGCCACTTTTGAGACGCACCCGGTATATTAGCTTTTGACATATTCGCTTAAAAAATCTTATTTTAGATTTCAATCTAGAGTGCTATGGCTGTGTTAAAAACACTAATTTTTAATCAAGGAGCCTTGGAAAAACAGATTTGATCGTCTAATGGTTTTGGTGTCTTGTCCTAGTCGATTAAAAGATGCCCAAATCGTATTTTTAATCATATCTCAATTTTTTCAAATGGAACGAGTATGGCTCATTAGCGTATTTGGAAAAATATTTTTTTACGAATAATTTGGTACCACATACTTGGTATTTTGAGTAAAATTGTCGTTATGACCCGCATATTATAATTTTAAATAAACCATATGCGAAAATGTCAAAAGTTGACAAGTGATATGTCACTCTATTCAGAGTGACATTTTCTATCGAATAAAGTAAAAAAAAAATAACGAGGGTGCTATTTAAAAATCAACATTTGTAATCATTTCCGCTAAAACAAGAAGTGACCGAAAATAATTAAATACGACAATCAATCTTAATTTATGTCATATACTAACATACCAAATTTCGTTTTTTATCTGAAAAATAAAAAAGTTATATGGGTGGGACACTTTTGAGACGCACCACACAAATATAAAAACAACCCTCGTACCATTATTTAAAAATGTAACAAAAAACCAATTCATATCGTATTTGACACTACAGATGAATGTTATGCCAGCCACACAACTACTTGCGTAAGCTTAGATTTACACAAGTACAGCAACTTGTGTTGTAAGATGTTTGCATAAATGTCTAGACGTATGTGAAGAGTGTGTGTTTATTTTATGATGTATGTTATGATTAATATTTCTATAGTATCTAAGATCTAAGTATAGTATATCCAACGAGATCATCCATGACAGTGACAGTTGTGATTGTTATTTTATTTTACAAGCAAATTGTATTTTCTATAATTTTTTGGATATCATCTGTCGAAATCTTTCCTGAGTCATTGGACAGGCTATATGTATATATGTGCAGTATATCGTTTATAGTCTGCCTAGATCATATATACTTGCTAAGTAAATCACTATGGAAACTGTCCCAAACATATCAACGACTTCCATTTATCTTCTTTTTTTGTTGCACACGCGGTGCTTCTACTCTATCTATACTTGTCGAGGACCTATCGCCCACGCGCCAAATTTGGACATTAATTTTAAAAATTTAATTTGTAAAATGCATATATTTGAACAATGAAAAGTTGGTTTTCATAACAATGTATAATTTGTACTTTCTAAACCGGATAAAATTGTAACTATTTTGGAAATACGTGCCACTTTTAATGCGCATGCGTAAAGTCAGGTCCTCGAGAAAGACAAACCTATTGAACGTTTCATAAGTGCAATAAAGAAGATTTGAAAATGGCATGTCGTGATGTTGGAGACATATTTTTTAATGCTAAACTTATGGCGTTGATGTATCCACGTAAGTATATATGATCTAGGATAGTCTGTCCAAGGAGAGGACACATGACACTGAAAGTTGTATCTGTCATTTTAATGCCCACGTAAATTGAATTCATGAGTCATTTTTTGTATGTTACTTTAAGGCTGGCATTAAAGTCTGTCCAACGAAAAAATACCGTATGATCGAATAAAAACGGCGTCCAGTTGGCTCGGAAATGAGGATCGATGACATTTCCCATATAAATTTACATATGAAATGACAGCGATCTTCATTTCATAACCATCGTTGACGCCGTTTTTTCTCGATCCTACGGTACAGTGATAGGTTATCTGTCATTTTAATTCATAGCTACATTGATTTACAGCTGCAATTTTAGGATGTCTTCCCTTGAAGACTTACATAATAACGAAATATTCTATTCTTCAGTTATAAGAACGTTATAAACTACTTACTGCTTTGTGAAGTATTCATTAATAACTCCACCGTGCCTCACAAACGCTTCAGAATCCTCCAGTATATCTGAGGCAATGTCATATAATCTATCTAGTAAATTTTTATTCAATTTCGATTGGTCAGATATGAAAAAATTATACTTATCATATGAACTACTACTGTGAGAACCGAGGACATTTAAGTCTTTTACAAGTTCGTATACGGTGTTGCCTTTTTCTCCGTGTACCTGAAAATGAGTTTTATTGTCAAAAATAAAGTGAGATGAGGAAGATTGCGGGGAAACATTTTACATTCAAATATCGATATTTCTATTTTGAATGGACCGATTTGAATTATCTTGATGTCAAAAAAAGTGTATATTTTTGCTCTATTTGTGGAACCATCAATGACTAAAGAATAAAAGGACACGCAGAATTTTTTTTGTTAGACGCCAATTTTTTGGAGATTACGGATGTCACCAGGGATAATTTTAACGATTTTTAATTAAGATTGTTGTGTGTAGTGAACTTTATATAAACTCTATTGCAATATTGATCTGTTCGGCTTTCAAGTGTAAAAGCCGCAACAGTAAGAAAGAGCCAGGAGTTACATTTCATAGGTAAATAAACAATCCACTCCACCCGTTTAGCATCTCTTTATTGAATTTGATAATTATTTTCCTGGTATTATATGTACTTGGTATGTGCTATACGTTGATACTAGTTTTGTACTTTTTGTCAGCTTTTGTTAACATTTTAATGTGTTTTTTTATAATTAACTAGCGTGTACCAGCGACTTCGTTCGCGTCGAATTAATCATTTGTAATGGTGATGATAAAGCAAAGCAAGAATTTCCATTAACATACAAACTGGATAAAATTTTCTCACATTTATGTCAGCATGAGAGAAAACAATATGGCGATATTATTATATAACTTGGTAATATTTGAGGGGTAGTTTCATCTCGTTGGCATTTGACTTTCGAAAAATCCGTTTACCAAAAATAAGCTTCTTACGTCAAGCAGTTTAAGCAGAATCGTGGTTGAGAAATTACCCAACTTTTTGGAACACCCTGTATGATTTTTTAAAAAATTTCAAAATATGTAAAAAACCAAATAAATTATGCTTGTCCAAGCGTTTTCCCGAAAGACTAACCGTTTTTTAAATAACAAATATTGTAATATTTGAGGGGCGTTTTCACCCTCTTGGAATTTGAGATTCGAGAAACCCCTCCTTATCGAACATCTACACCCCACAGTCAATCCGTTTGCCAAAAATCAGTCAAGCAGTTTAAGCAGAATCGTGATTACTCAATGGTCATATTTTATGAAACACCCTGTATAAATTTATAAAAAATCTTAAAATATGTAAAACAACAAAATAAAATATACGTGTTTAAGAGTTTTTCCGAAAAACTCACCGGTTTTTAAATAAAAAATATTAAAATATTTGAGGGATAGTTTCACCCGCTTAGAATTCCAGTTTCGAAAAATCCCTTGTTATCGAACCTCTACACCCTAAAATCAATCTGTTTTACAAAAATCAGCTTTTTATGTCAAGCGCTTTAAGCAGGATCGTGATTAATCAATGACCAGATTTTTCGAAACACCCTGTATAAGTTTTTAAAAAATCTTAAAATATGTAAAAAAAAACAAAATAAAATATACGTGTTTAAGCGTTTTTTCGGAAACGACCGTTTTTTAAATAAAAAAGATTGTAATATTTGAGGGGTGGTTTCACCCTCTTGGAACTGGAATTTCGAAAAATCCCTTCTTATCGAACCTCTACACCTTAGAATCAACCTGTATGCCAAAATTGAGCTTCTTACGTTGCGTGGTTTGAGCAGGATCGTGATTAATCAGTATGTCAGTCACTTAAGGATTTTATATATATATTTTTTTCCATAACAAGGGGCCGTCCTCTGCCGGAAACACTGCGACCTGTGAGGCCTATTGTGTTTGTCCCCCTTCTATATCTGCACCCATTCTCCTATCCCTGTGCCCTGCACTAGCTTATGCAGGTCCTTGATAGGATGGGAGCATAGTTCCTCCGGTTCTAGCCTAGCTTTCCCAAGTAAAGAGTGTCGCTTGCGATCCAGAGCCTCGCAATGACATATTATATGCTCCGCTGTTTCAGGATCTTTATCGCAGAGTCTGCAGCAAAGACTTCCTTGATACAGGTTGAGCTTGTTCAGATAATACTCGACAGCCATGTTTCCTGTCAAGAGGCCTGTTGTAATCCGCACTTTATTCCTGCTAAGCATTAGGTCCTTGGATAAAAGCCTTGCTGTGCCTGTGTCCCTGTCTGTTTCTCCAGTGGACATTGTGCTTTTCCTTGAGCCAGAGTTTTAGTGCACTACGGGCCATACATTTGGGTATTCCCAGTACTGGCTCTGGACCAAGTTAGGATGCCGATGATCTCTGCCTAGCTAGCTCATCGGCTTTTTCGTTGCCTTGGATACCGCTGTGGCCCGGCACCCAGAATAATTTAATTCTGTTCCTTCGTAATTTTATATATTGGTATAGATTAGTATGATACCAGGAAATAACAGCATACACCATAGGCGTAGTCAAAACATTTAACAAAAATATAAGTATCTCTTCAAGCCTAAGCTTCAAGCAAGTTAGTGAAGAAAAATATGGGGCACGGCACTGTTTGGGAACATGGTAACAATTTGGTCTCGGGTAGTATTGGTCCTTGTATTCTTTAGTCATTGGGAGCTATAAACTGTACCATAATGATCTCATTAATAGTCACTATAGGTGATAAAAAGCTGATTTTCTAAAAAAAGTTAAATAATAAGCTTATACCGGGTGCGTCTCAAAAGTGGCTCACCCCAATAACTTTTTTATTTTAACAGATAAAACAACGAGATTGGTATGTTAGAATATGACATAAATTGGGATTGATTGACATATTCAATTTGTTTGATTGACATATTCAATTGAAACTTCCGGTTTCACCGGAAATGACTACAACTTTTGATTTTTAAACGGCACCCTCGATATTTTTTTACTCTATTCGATAGAAAATCACACTCTGAATATGATATGTCATTCTACATATCATATGTCAACTTTTGACATTTTCGCATATGGTTTATTTGAAATTGTAACATGCGGTTCATAACGAAAATTTGACTCGAAATACCAAGTGTGTGGTATCAAATTATTCGTAAAAGAATGCTTTTTCAAAATATGTTAATGTCCACCCTCGTTCCATTTGAATAAAATTGAGATATTATTAAAAATACGATTTGGGCATATTTTAACCGGCCAGGATAAGACACTAAAAACATTAAACGATCAAATCTATTTTTCCAAGGCTCCGTGATTAAAACTAGTGTTTTTATCACAGTCATGGCACTCTAGATTAAAATTTAAAATACAATTTGTTTTTGAGCAAATATGTCAAAAGTTGACATGATATGTCATTCAAGTGTCATTTTCAATCGAATAAAGTAAAAAAATACCGAGGGTGCCATTTATAAATCAAAAGATGTAGTCATTTCCGGTGAAACAGGAAGTAACCGAAAACAATTGAATATATCAATCAATCCCAATTTATGTCATATACTGACATACTAAATCTCGTTTTTTTTATCTGAAAAAATAAAAGTTATAGGGGTGAGCGACTTTTGAGACGAACCAGGTATTATGGTCTATTAAGAGCACTGAATAGTAAAATAAGAGATCCAGGCCCGTATTTAAATTAAGAAAGTCGATAATGGTATCTCGAATTCGAAACGTCGGATAGTGGCATTTGAAAAATGAATAATGCCATTTTGTAGAGAAGGAATACTGACTCTGGCAAAAGTGGGAATAGTTTTCATCTACCTCATTATTTATAATTATTAATCCTAAAAGTTTAGAAAAACAAATAAACTGGAAAATAGTAAGGTACAGTCCAGACATTAAACATGTAAATTAGATGCACAATTTAATTGTCTATCAAATTGTATTATACAATGCCTTACCAGTCTCTTCAAGTTTTCGTAGAAAATGCATTTCCTTATAATTTAGACCTCATTTATCAATATACCCATGAAATATTGACATTTTGGATATTTTTTTAAAGCAAAAAATGTACAAAATGTACAGATGCTTAAACCGATAATCGATAATATTACTAGCCCATTTGTTTACAAAAAGAAAACTATTTAAATATTTGTAAAAGAGTATACTAATTAAAAATACCACCATTATTTTCATCCAAATATTACTTAATTACTTTACTTAATTGTGTTAGTTAATAAAATATTCTAAATAATTGTGGATTTGAATCAGAAATCAATATTATAACAAGTTATGAATGTGAACGTCCCTGTTGTTATAAATTACCATTCGTCAAAAAATGAAATAACATTTTTTATAAGATGTTACTATTTACAACTTTAACTAATACACATACAAAATTCAGTTTTTTCGTATTTAGAGCAATTATTATTAATCAATGCAAACAGTTAATTAATGTAGTTTGATTACTGGGATCGTTTAATTGATCCTCATTCACAACAATATTTAAACAGTTTATTTTTATTTTATAATAAAGTAAGCGAACTATATCGACAATATTAGTATCTGTACTCTTTGAAAATTTGGTACTTTAAAAATAATCTAAAATATCAATATTCCATGGGCATATGATAAATGGTCTAAATTATAAGAAAATGCATTTTCTACAAAAAATTCAAGAGATAAAAAATGGTATAATACTAATTGGTAGATAATTAAATTGTGCATCTCATTCTCCGGTAAAATATACAGGGTGTCCATTTAAATTAAACAAGTTATTGCCGTTTAAAGCTAGTAATTATTTGACGTAAATTTATCCACCTAAAAAGTCGAATTTGCAGAAATCGTAAACTTGTACATACGTTTTCTAATTATTTTATGAACTTATGAAGAACTGGCCACTCTCACTTACCCATTGTGCTCCTAAATCTATCACTGTTCCCCCAAATTCTACAGAGTGTATTCTACCCCCAATCCTATCCTCGGCTTCAAGAATAGTAACGTCTTCAAACCCATTTTTTAATAATTTAGTTGCGGCAGCAATACCAGCAGCTCCCGCACCGATAATCAAAACTTTAGGTTGATTTGTTTCACTCGCAGCTTTGTTACTCATGATTGTCTGATATCCATTAAAAAATTGACTGAAACAAATAAGAACAGTGATTTATTTCTTGTTAATTTTAAACAAATGTTGCGCTATTATTAAAAAATCATCTTTAAAAGCTTCGATTGCAACAGTGGTTTAAATTGGGTCAATTAAACATTATCCCTGCATACTTGTTCATGGTTCACCGTGGTTCAACGCTAAAATATTTTAAATTTTAAATAGATATGTCCTTGAGATCAAGTAACAAGTCTAAAATAAATGTGTTAAAAAATTAAGTATCTATAAGTGCTTGACGGAATAGCAAAAAAAAATAATGATTAATATTAACTAGCTTTTTCCAGCGATTACGTTCGCGTTACACCTGGTTCATGCATTGATTTAAATGATTGTTTACTTCTTTATAGATAGAGCTAGTGAGCCTTACAAATGCAATATTAAAACTATGTTTTTAAGAATTTTAGAGCTACTCGTATTTCATATGAAAGTTAGCAATTGTCGATTCTTCTGGGTATTATACAGGGCGAGTCTTGAATAAGTGATATATTTTCACGGCTGGTAGATCTCGATAAAATGAACATATTTTCTCTTTACCGTTTTTCAAATAACTCCAAAATCACGAGATATTTTACTTTAAAAAATTTCCAAAAAAAAATTTTTTTTGCTTAAATTTTGAGAACCACGGGAGCTTTTCGGGTTTTTCTGTCTAATAATTTAATCTACCACCTATGTGGCCATATTATCAAGAAATTGTGGTTTTTAACTAAAAACTAAAAAAAATCTAAAAAGTTAAATAACCTTAATAATTCTAGAAGCTGTTATCGAAATCAAACTATTTCAAAGAAGTTCAATTTTGGCCCAAAAATGATTTCGATATCTTGCTTTTTAACACTTTTTCTCAAATTTCAAACTACTTCCATAGACTGAAACTAATAATTATGTATGGTTGGAAAGAGGGTGGATGTGGTTTTTTATTTCTAAATTATGTATAGGGTGTTTTAGAAATCGGATCAAAGTCGAAATTTTGCAAAATCTGGAGAAAGAAAATCTCTCGAAAATAATAAACAGTGAAATGACTCTCTATAGATAGAACCCTACCTATGGTCCCATATAAACTGTATTAAGTTTGATTTTCATGCATCCGTTATCGATTGGTTAGAAACGGTTAACCAATCGAAGCCTTTAAATTCAACCAATAAAATTAATATCGTATCGTCGGACAACGGATGCATGAAAATCAAGCTTTACATATAAAAAGCTTTGACATATAAAGTTTTCAATTGAATTTGAAGTTTCCAATTGTTGCTTTTCTTGAATACTTCCCTGATTTATTTTTATTTTTCAAGAGCATTAATACTCTCTTTATACGTTATTTTTTATTCCTAGAAGGATGGTTTGAGAAGAAAGATTTTGTTCATATTATTGATGTCACTAAATAAATCCTTGTATACCATTCTATACTTCTAGATGTTATAGTAATGCATTTTCGCACAACAAATTTTCATTCCCTATTCTACTCCCTATGGGTATGAATTTCATAAATTCTCTATGTTCAAATAATTAACTAATGTCTTTTAAATGATCCTTTTTGTGTGTATAATCCAGAGTCGTGACCTCTGTTGGTTTATATAAATTTTTACTAACTTTACCCATTTGGTTGATGAATTTCAATAATCTCTTCTAATTCTTTCTGTATAATTTCATTCTTCTAGACCAGATAGTAAGGAATTTTCATACAACAAATTGTTCGACATAATTTTACACTCTAAGAGGAAAGAGGATGAATTTCCTAAAATCACTTTGCGTAGCTAATTCACTAATCACTAATGCCATAAACGAACCTTTGTACTAATATTTATGTATCTAAGGCTGGCGGTTTTAACTGATCCCTAAAATATCTAAAAACTTGATATATAATCTAACTGACAATGACAAATAATTTATTTCTAGAGGTATTGTTTGTAGGTGTTTTTCAGGTATGTTTTAGTATTTAGTCGTTTTACACAAAGAAATAACCATTAAACAATATAAAAATACTTCATAACAAATCTAGACATATACAACCTTTCATTTAAAAAAAGAATCATCAAGATTGGTGAAGCGGTTTCGGCGGAATGGATGTAACAAAAAAAACCTTTGAGCTTTTATATATGTATAATGGATGTATGGATAGTTGAATCAAAATACACACGGTGCATAAAATACTATAGTATTGTATACTATACCGTATGATTCGAAAAAACAACGGCTTCAAAGACGGCTGGAGATTGACAATCGGTGATGATTTTGGCGAGATCAATATCTAGACGTCATTTACTAAAAATTGCCATACTTAAAACTTGTCAAAAATTAACACTAATAATATAATAATTATATACTCTGTTTTTTTTTCTCAGGTAAGATTTCGACAGACGATGGCAGAAGAAAAGCAGATGACGTCCCATACCAATCTATTTATTTCACTAAAAAAGTTTCTAATATTTTTTTAGTTAACTATAGATGGGTTTATACAGTCTGTGAAACGAATAACTTTGAATTTGACAGTTCCCGCGGGCTTTTCTAGTGTTAATTTTATTAGGTTAGCAACTTGCGGCCATGCCTTGGCCATGCTGACGCAATGCCGTCTCTAATAGAACAGCCTCGGAACTCGGAACGAGATTTATAGCATCACGCTAGTTACATACACAGTTACAAGTTCACGCTAGTTACATACATCTCGTATGGTACCAAAAACTGGAGTATCCTTTAGCACAGATTATACAGATTATAATCTTTGTTTTTTCTTTATTGTTTTTCGTGGTTCCAATTTTCGGAATCGGGCACTAGTTAGGTGACTAGTTTGCGCACATAGCACGCCCACTTATGGCCTCTAAAATTGTGCACAGCGCCTGACCGGCACAGTTATTAGAGAGATATCGGAAAACCCAAATACGTTTAAATAAAATATACGACGGCCTCCCCATAAGAGCAATGAGAGGATTTACGTCCCAGTATTGAAGGAGGACAGAAAATCGAGTCGAATGGTTTCAAAACATAGGTTCATCCTTGTTTAGTCAAACCTCCTACAAACCAAGGATAGATTTATGTAGGAAATGCATTGAAATTCTATAGCCATCCTTCAATATCGGGACAGGAATTTAAGCGGTATCCTCCGTATACTTTATTTTAAACGTATTTGGGAAAACCGAATAGCGTCATCCAGTATTTACGCGTACCTTATCATGGTTACGATATGCGCGAGTCAATTTTTAATGCAACACCCGCTAAGAACGTTACCGCCTGACGTAATTTGCGGATCAATTACACTAAGCGCTTTTTCTAAATAACCTCTGATAACGTTTAAAAATTGCTTAAATGGGCATGTTCGGGTACTTGACAACCGGAGCCGGCCGGCGAGATCTTTTATTTTAGGTTATGTTTGAATTGTTTTGGATTATTGCTTTAGTTTTATTAGGTAATTTGATATTTAAGTAGCTGGGATTAGTTTTAATTAAATAAATATGGCCCAAAATATGGATTCCACCTCTTCCAATACTAAAGAACCTATAAAGAGTCTTAGGTTTACAGCAGATGACGACTTAGCCCTTCTAAGAGAATTTGTTGCTTGTTGCCCTAAACCGGACGTTGAACAATAAAGCACTGGAAATAAGTACTTTAGCCCTTTAGTTTTAAAATACCTAGTAAACAAAACAATTTCAAAGTTTTAAATCCAAAGTTAGGTTAAGTTTAAATAGCGGACGCGACGCGATCAGAATTCTTTCCGATCCGATAACTATAAATGAAGAGAGTTAATACCACCTCAAGTAAAGGAAACAACACCTGGCCTTATTAACGTCTATGCACGCTATTCGGTTTAGCGATATCTCTCTATTACGCTGTTTATTGTTATTTTACGCGAGTTTATTTTTGCGCACAGGAAATTTGACTCGTTTGCACATCGTCATAAAAAACAATTTTGGTACCACGAATTAGGGACAAGATTTTTATCTGTATACTTATAGGATACCTAATATGTGCCTTTAGTATCTCTAAAATAGCAGCACATGATAGGTAAATAATACATTTTAGTACTGCAAAGAGATAATGTCAAAAGATACTGGTTTAAAAAATTAAAATTAAAGTTAATTAACCAACTTTTAAGGTATACAATTCTAATCTAAATAAGTGTTATTATTAATAAAATATTTTGTTTTACTAAAAAAAGAAATTTTGTGAGCTTATGTAAATCAATTTAAAGCATTTTCTAAAATTATGTAAAGTTCTACAGAGTGTCACCAAAAAAAGTTACCCTACATATTAAAGTTATGTTTTTTGTAATGAAACACCCTATATATTAATTGATTTTTGGATTCTAGTAAAAAAATAAAGATTTGTTTCATTAGAAAAGTATATGACTAAAATGTATAGTTTTTGAAATACATTCACCGGCACGAAAAATGGGCAACTTAAAACTTTGATGCATTTTGAAGGTTAATATATTTTGATTTAATGGGCCGATTCTGATGATTTTTTAAGCAGTGTGTTGCCAAATTATTTGACTTTTTAGTATTTTTTGAAACACAGCTTGAAAGCAGGAAATTTTTTTTGCCATGTGGTTTCCAAATGTATGTAAAGGGAGTTTATTTTCATTAACTGTTTTTTTTTCTACTTGAATCAGTGGCATCCGTACGCAGACACCCTTGGATTAATTATTGATTAAAATAAATGGGATGCCACTGCTTTTTTTTTCAAGGAAACATTTTTTTCTAGATTGTTGATTCCTATTTAATAAGACTAATATTTCCAATTATTGTTCTGGGGCATGGTTTTAGTTTTCGAGAAAAAATGTTCTTTAAAAAAGTGCTGGTAATTAAGAAAGAGAAATCGTTTACTAGGAAAAACGCAGTGGCGTGCCATTTATTTCCAGCCGATTAAACTCAGTATTTTTTAATTTTTAACACTCTGTATATCAAAAAGAAAATACTTTAGACCGCATGTTCATATAAGCTTTGTTTCTTAAAAAGCGATGAGAAATCACATTCTAAATTTTTTAGACCA